AATAGCTTAGAGTAAAATTTTTTAGACGTATCTCAGCGAAGTAAAGACATATTCTCCCTTGGTAAGTTTTCGAAAAACGCTGTCCTTTTGGGTTATTTGAAATTTTTTATTGAAAAAATGTCTTAAGGATATTTAGCAGGTATTAACCACAAATATACAATGCTGTTTTAAAGACGGAGTACTTTCCGCTTTGTGAAAGGTAGACCAAATTATACTAATCACTAAGCCAAGAAAATCTGTTGAGAAAAACAACATCCTAGAGGTCTATTAGCCTACACCCTGCTATGACAAAGTTACTAGAAAAATTACTTGTAGAGAAAATAGAACAATTCTGAAAGCAAATCAATTAATTCCTAACCACAATTTTGAAAGTTACCAAATTGCTTGCTAATTTGCAAATTGGTTCTAAAACCGATAAGAAATTACAAAATTCAATTGTGGAGGGCAGTACCCCACTCAAACATCGAAAGCCTATAAAGACTCCAGTTCAAAGTACTTAGGATTATCGTAATAGCTCCCAGAAGTATCACAAACGTATAGAAAATTGCCCCAACAAATTGGCTCAACACCTAATGAGACGTCCCGTCCAGCGAAGGTTGAGAAGTCATCTTCCATGTGATCTGCCTGCCAGATTTTCGAACCTTAATACTGTTCTCTAATATATAGTAGTTAAGTTTTCCGAACCCAACCTTAGATAAGTAAAAGAAAATTGTCACTGGACAATTTCTTAAATGTTTTGTTACTGTCTTTTAACATTTTCGTATTGTAACATTTAGATTGCACATTAAATGATATATTTAATAAAAAAATATATTAATAATATCCACTCAATATGGGGCTATCAAAAAATACAATTAATTACAAAAATACTCCTCCTCCTAATAGCAACCTTAACTTCCTCAAAAATATGAGTATAAAATCAACTCAAAGTTATATTATTGATCGGGAATGTAGCAAGTAAAGGGACAAGAATGGGGGTACAAAAGGGAAGCATTCTGATGTCTAATTTTTATCGCTATTTAATTACACTCGAAAATGGTTCATATTTACCATGTTTGTTAAGCAATGCGTTAAGTCAGTACTTACAAAAATAAATTTATAATGCGACAATTTATAATGAAGTTAATTTTATAAGTTTAGTGTCCCGAAGTTTATAGGCTATTAAATATACAATAATAAAACAAGGAGACAACTACACGGATCTGACAAATTCAAACAGCAGTACCACAGAAAACCGGCCTTGATCTACACATCTCTTGTATAAATGGCATTTAAGAATGCGAAAAGCTACATACAAAGTTTAGGAGTTTAGGAGTTATAAAATACCTAATGGTGAAGTAAATTATTTAATATCCACACTCGAAAATAAATTAAAAGCGCATCATATTGAAAAAAGAATTAAAACTGAAGCTATAATTATGTACTTTTATTTTTCTGCTTATTCTCATTCTTATTTCCTTTTTTATATTCATAGCTAAATACTACTTTCTTTAAGTTTGTATTTTTTAGGTAAGTTATTATTCCAAATTATTTATGATTTTGCCTATTGCTGTATTGATTTCTTGAACCAGTGTACATTATACTAAACCTAATAATAAATTTTTTACAGTTTGGATTTGAATTAATAAGAAGCGACATCAAAAAATAAAGACAAAAGTACTATAGGTATTTCTTTCAATACCGTTCTTGGACTTTTATTCTAAAAGTGATGGCTTTCACAATTTATACTTTGCTCCAATAAGCTGTAGCGGCGCAGTAACAATAATGGAATGACACAAAAAATGATTCATTCATAATGTTCCAACAATGATTATCAACTTCACTTTTTCATTGACGGTTCTGGTGTATCGAATCTTACATATCACCAATATACAGTGCGTTCGTAAAGTATGGAATAAATTCGATGTTTCCTAAATGAAAAGCTTTTTTAAAAAACTCTAAAACACGTCGATTTTTAAGTTTAATGTTCTACATTTTACAACAAAATGTCATTACAAAAGGTGACACACATTAAAGTGATGACGTCATCGGTTCTTTTTTTAAATGTAACACCCTATAATTTCTGACATTTTTAGATCGATAGAAATAAGCTGATTCCAAAATAGTATAACACTCGGGGTCTAATGGATATAATTTGAAAGATATACGCTTAGAAAAGAAATTATTTATTATCAATTGCAAAAAAATAGCCTACTACTAGTTTTTAGTGAAATGTAACTATTTTTAGTAACGTTCAATGACAATTAAGTAGTACAATAATTGTATTACATCGTGAATGTTCTGTATTATTGCTTAGAATTAATTTGAAGTAGAAATGAATTTGAGTGTAAAGCAAAGAATTGAAATACTCATGATAATTGGGTATGGAGAAAAATCGCGAACTAAGATGGAAGTGTGTAATTTATTTAATGATAAATTTCGAGAAACTTCTTCTTCTTTTGGCATCATAACCCTTTATGGGTCTTTGCCTGTCTGGCTATGTCCTTCCATTCAGATCTCTCTTGTGCCCTTCTTCTCCATTGTCTTATGTTCATTGTTTTCAGGTCGTCTTCCACGTCATCCAACCATCTTGTTCTGGGTTCTTCCTTTGTTCGCCTTCCTATGGACTTCCATTGTAACATTTTCTTTGTTGTTCTTGCATCGTTTTGTCTCTGCACATGTCCCAGCCATGACAGTCTTTGACTTTTCACAAATCTATTTTTATTTCATATTTCATATATCTATTTCGAGAAACTGGTATGGTTGAAAATGCACACAAATCAGGTCATCCCTCTGTAAATAATGATACAACATTAGATATTCTACTTGCTTTTGAAGAAGATGTGCACACTTCTCTTTGTAAGGTTACACTAATTGCACACACACCGATTTTGGACGGTCGTCTATGTGAGAACGGGACATTGCACACAGGCCGACCGCTGATCGGTGTAGGTAAAATGCCGGTGAGCGGACGTTCACTGCCACTGTATCGCCGGCACGACCGGGACGTATTGGCGTACGTAACTAAATACAGTATTACACACACATCGATTTTTTATCGGCCAAGTCGACTGATCGGTGAAATTTTAGGTACATTTTAATTTTAGTTTTGGTAATGCTTGGTACATAATTACGATTGCAATGGATGATTTTCTTGATAATGATGTCCTTATTTCGTTAGTGGAGGCAAGACCTAAAGAAGCTGAAAACTTACTACCATCATGCGTTAGTTCTTCAAAAAGCGTGTAGAATGTTTTCTCTATTTTGATTGATAGGATGAATCACTTGCGTTTAATCCTACGGCACTTAATACGGCGATACAAATATGTAATAACATCAACTCATTTAGGATTCATTATTATTCAACAACCTCGTGTTACGAGAACAAAGCAACTAATTGTTTGACCGGTAAAAATCCGGTGCTACCAGTAAAATATCGGCCGATTTTATGCTGGCCGTCCAAAAACGGTGTGTGTGCAATTACATTTAGTCGTGATCTTGATGTTTGCAAAACAACGGTACACAAAGTAATAAAATTGGCACCCCTTTGGATGCACACTTGTACAAGAATTAAACGAGGATGATCCAGATAAAAGAATACAATTTTGCGAAACAATAATGAATCACTGCCACCGAAACCCTCTCTTGGTTCAAAATATTATTTTTTCTGATGAGGCTACATTCACATTAAATGGCGAGGTCAACCGTCAGAATTCTAGATACTGGACAAAAGAAAACCTTAACTGGATGCGGGAACATCATACACAATACCCGCAAAAGGTAAACGTATGGGCTGGCATTTTAAGAAATATAATCATCGGACCCTACTTTTTCGAATGTAGGTAGGTAGGTTTTTACCTCAATCCTTTGGATTATTTGGGGTCATTTGAAAATGTTATTTATAAAACGAAACCTGCAAATATTGAAGACTTAAAAACAAGAATTCGTAAAGAAATAAACAATATTTCTTAAGAAACCATAAACAAGGTTCTACAATAATTTGTACAATGTTTGGGTTACTGTAAAATACAACAAGGACTACAATTCGAACATTTAAGATAAAGTCATGTATGAATTACTGGGTTACTTTCAAGTTATTCATTATAATTTATTTATAATTTATTAATGTTAGAAATCAATAAAAATTAATTTTCTAAGCGCATATCTTTCAAATTACATCCGTTAAACCTCTAGTATTATACTTTTTTGGAATCGGCTCATTCTTATCGACCTAAAAATGTCCTAAAATACAGGATATTACATTTAAAAAAAGAGCCGATAACGTCATCACCTTAATGTGTATCACCTTGTATGATGAAATTTTATTGTAAAATGTAGAACATTAAACTTAAAAATTTGCGTGTTTTAGAGTTTTTTAAAAAAGCTTTTCATTTAGGAAATATAGAATTTATTCCATACTTTACGGGCACACTGTATATTTCATAGTAAGTAATTATATCGATCAAATCAACGACTGATTTAAAGGATTATAAAAGTAAAAACTGTTATCTCTATATCAGTTGGAGCTGTTGCAATATAATCAATAATCTGTTATTATGCCCTTTTCACGACTTGGTGTGTATAGTGTTGGCCTTTTTTATAGTGTCTTTATTGGTTTGGAAAGTCGCTCTCTTTAATGATAAATCAATAATTATTTTAAAAGTTTTTTCTAAAATCAATCAGTAAATAAAGAAACGGTTTATTACTATAAAACGATACAAAAACAGTACCAGTAAGTCATAACAATTTAAAAATTCCATCATAATATTCACTCTTTCCAAAAATTACAATAATTAAAAACCGACTTGGTCTAAATTACAATATACACAATACCATCACAATAAACCTCATCTTTGAGTTTTTAATAAGTTAGTTTCATACTATACAGACTTATTAACAGATGGAACGTTATAATAAAAAGTTTGGTAAATTTCAAACATATATATTAGAACCAGAACATGGGATGGTTTGACATAGGATAATATTTTTGACTGCTCTTTAGCATTTTAGAGAATTTGCTCTACAAATTCCCGCCCAATTTTAAAACTTATGATTTCATATGTGAAAAATACAGCAAAATAAGGAAATCCAACATTAATTCAGAATTCTTGAAGCATGCATAAATATTTTGGATATCTTATCCAAAATAGAAACTATATAGAAAAGAGAGGTTAGCTCGGTGGTAAATATATTCTTAAACGCAGAAAGCCTAGCAGCAGAAAATACCAGCCAAAGTTATTAACGATTATGATTCGTGTAAAAATACGGTCGTTAAAACACCTCTCCTACAACACTTTAAATATAAGTGAATGCGAATGTTATCACAATAAAATCTTCATAAAGTCCGTACAGACAAAAGTATTATAAATTAAGCAAGGATTATTAATTTTCAACTCTGGTGTTTAAGTTAAAATTTTTTGTGTTAGGGAGAGTTAGAAGTCCTAATATATCCCATTTTTTGCAAAAGTTATACTTCCATTGATTGTTCCTATAAAAACTACCTAGAACAAATCATTAAAGATTAAAATTACCAACACAGGTTGCCCATTTTACTAAAACGGAGCACGTTTTCCTAGAACTGTAACCAAACTTTGTACTACAACAATCCATCATCAAATCCCGCTCGTTAACCGTTCTAACCGTCCACAATTTGTCATGGAACCCGATGATCGGGACAGTACGCCTTAAAATTACTTTCCACAAACTGCCAAGCGTTCTTTCGCGCGCAACTGATATGCGCAGCATTCAGACAACCTCTTCTAAAACACAAAATGTTGGCTCCCTTCAAATTACACGACTTACACATAACGTTACAACAAGTCCACACTGCTGCTTCGAGTCCCACTATTTTCGGTCCTATCAAGTACGTGCCGTGTGACCATACAATACAGTCCTCGTGCGCCCAAATCTCGTAAGTCTTGTTTCCCGTGGCGGTGATTCCCAGGTAAATGTCGGACTCGCTTTCCGATAGGCCGTCACTGTCGGAATGTTTCCGCTTGGATTTCTTGCTTCTGGAAGCTATTGTTGCGGCTTCGTCTAACGCTTTTGTGATCTAAAAAAAAAATAGGTAGAAATAAATATCACTTTTGATTGATATCTTTTCAGGATAAGCGAGAGATTAAAGCTTAGAGTCACAATACAAGTTTTTTTTCCAAAACTGCCTTCCGATTTAGAAATCCATCCGTCAAATAATATTCAGTACATTTTATATTCAATATATTTAACAAGTACAAGTGTACTGGATATAATAAACTATGTACTAGCTTTAATATTTGTGGATTATGAAAAGGTCTTAGACACCACAAATCAACAAAAAATGTTAGAAACCTCGACAGAATGACGAATTGACTATCGATATATAAATATAAGCGGATTAAAGGTGGGAAATCACCAGGACCTGATAAGGTGCAACTGATATGTGTATGCATGTTTCATCGATTTCGAGAAGGTATTTGATAAAGTCCCACATGGGAAACTAATCATTATCCTAAAAAAAGAGTGATCTCCAACTTATATCTCCAACAAAAAGCAACAGTACGATTAGAAAATGTACTGTCCGAGATCTTCACAGTCGAAAAAGGAGTTAGACAGGGTTGCATATTGTCACCGACATTATTTAACATATACTCTGAAAACATCTTGGAAGAATGAGAACATGGGATTGCTGTAAATCACCAACTTATAAACAACATTAGTTATGCAGACGATACAGTGATGCTGGCAGATGTATGAAACAAATATGGCCTACAACTAAATTGCAAGAAGACAAAAATAATGATAAGAACATCGACATAACCGCCCAAATTACAATTAACGATACACCGTTAGAAAGAGTGGAAAAAATATGTTATTTGGGCTGCAATATTAAGGATACTTGGGAATCACAGCTACGAAATAAAAACTCGTATTGAAAAAGCCAGAAGCTCTTTCAACAGCCTTAAGAAGATTTTCTGCAACTTATCTTTCAAGTATCCAATATACGCATAAGAATTCTTAGATGTTACGTCTTTAGTGTTTCTATGGAGTAGAACGCTGAAGCCTTAGAGAAGATGCCATGAAACGATTGGAGGCATTTGAAATGTGGTGCTACCGACGTATGTTGAGGGTCTCATATATATACCACACTAATAAGTACCACGCACATACGTAACAACTATTCTCCAGAGGCTAAGAAAAGACAAACAAATTATTAAAACCATAAAAAACAGAAAATTGGCCTACTTCGGCCACATCATGCATAAAGATAAATACCGACTTCTACAGTTGATTCTACAGGGCAAGATTGGGGGTAAGAGATGTCCTGGACGTAGATGTATATCCTGACTGGTCAATCTTAGGAAATGGACTGGTCTTACGTCAACTGATCTCTAGAAGATAGGCACATTTAGAAGAAGATATAAATATAATTAAACACATATAGCAAAACGCAACAGTTGTGTTAAAGTGGGTAATCATCAAAATCAAAAAATCCCGATATAACGTGAAATGTGGAGTGCGTCAGGGGGGACTTTAGATTTTAAATTTTAAAAATTTAGAAATAACGCTGTGGATGATATTCATGAATTCGCTATAGTTTCTGATATGGCGATTGTTGAAACATTATTTCAAAAGCGAGAAATACAATTTATCACAAAAGTGAAAAAAAAAATACATTTTCATATACAAATTACATACAGTACTGAGAAGAGTATACAGCACGATGCTAATTCTCTTTAGCACATAGAAACTTATAGAAAAACAACTCTTTCTTTTTCAATGATTCTTATTTCTTTGTTCACATCCCAGTTGTCATTAACATTGGCCTATTGGTTGTATCTCTGTTTTAATGAAAACCATAAATTTGGTCGCCATTTTTGGCGAGAGAATTGTTTGAATTGTACGAATCAAGTTCATAATATCTATGACGTCATTGAAACTGTCATATTAAGATCATTATTGGAAGCATAGCTTTCTTATCGCGAGCTCGGATAAGAAAGCTATGCTTCAAATCGGACAGAATTGAATGAAATGGAATTGGATTAAATTGAAACGAATTAAATCAAATTAAATGGAATTCAATTCAGTTCAATTCAATTAAATTGAATTCAAAATTAAATTCATTAAAAATAAAATAAATTAAAAACCATCGCTAAGTTCGTAGACGATAAAAGAGCTATGCTTCCCCTCCTCGGCCACAGTACCACATCCCATTTTTTTATTACGTGCAAAAATTAAAAAATGTTACAAATCTCTCGTCTAAAATTACCATTTTCCCTTTCATTTTCCTAACTAGCACATTATATTCCTTACCTTTTTACTTTTAAATTGTCTATCGTACGGATCGTCCAGCCGCCTCTCGAATTCTGGACACTGCGTGGTGATGAAGTAAGGTCCAAAAAGGTCTCCGGGTGGTTCGATATTCCTATCAACGGTGGGACCTGTCAGCTCGCTAGCGTGAGGTCCCCGTTTGCAGAAGGCGCAGATCCACGTCGCGTCCCTCGTCTGGGCGTCGTACTTGTTGCTCAATGTGCTAGAATGCAGCCCCTTGGAACGAACCTAATAGTATTATCATCAACAAAAAAGGTAATTGTCTAATTAATAAGGTTGTTTTGAAAGGAAAAGTATCGGCGTTGGAGAAAAAATAAAGATGGTTTGAAGGATGCTAAATAAAAATAAAAATAATCTATACTAGTCATATGTAACAATCAAACATGTTCAAAATTCAAAGGTTTTTGATGAAAGACGGAAGTGGGTGTAAGGGGGAAGAGGGGATCTAGAACGGGAGACGAAATGGGAAAGCAATAGAAAAATTAAAGGAAAAGGATGGTGAAGATGAAAAGAAAAATAATTGAAAGAAAGTAAAACTGATAATAGTGATCAGGTTATTAGAAAAACGAAAATAAAAGGAACAAGATTAATTTGAGAATAGAAAACACGACCAAATGTAACTTAAGAAATCGCTCAAGTCTAGAGTACTGAATGAAGTACTGAACACTGAAATCATTCCCATTAAAAAAAAACAACTATCGGAACCTTACAACTCAACTCAACTACAAATAAATTCTCCCGAATAAAATGTGACAAGGTAAACTCATATTTGTGGCCTATTGATGAAAGTTTAAATTCTAAAAGATGTCATGAAGAAGTTCTGAGACTGTTTTCTGGTTTCATGTGTAAGTTAAGTGTTGTATTAATATGGGATTAAACAACAATTGATTGTAATGAGAAATACACTTTACATTTGCTTTGACGTTTCGATTTCCAATTCGGAAATTGTTTTCAAAGAAAATTGGAATTTGAAAATCGAAACGTCAGAGAGATGGAGAGAGAGATAGAGATAGAGAGAGAAAGAAAGATAGAGAAAGAAAGATAGAGAGAGGGGATATAGACAAAGATATATTTAGAGAGAGAGAGGGGGGTAGGGAGCGGGGGAGAGAGATAGAGATATACAGGGTTACGCAATTGAAAGTGAATAAAATGTTTGTGTATCGCATCATAACGCGTTATAATGATACTGGTAGCATTGCCAAACGATATAGCGGTGGACGAAAAAAACAGCAACACCACCTGAAATGGTTCGGAAAGTGAAGGCTCGACTTGAGCGAAATCCACGTCATAGTGGTAATCAAATGGCCAAAGAACTGAAAATATCCCAGCGAAGCATGCAACGAATATTGAAAAAAGAGCTCAAGGATAAGCCTTATAAGTTCCAAAAAGCACATAATCTTACACCAAAGCAAAAAAAAGTTCGGCTTGAAAGAACAAAGGAGTTGTTACGCCTGTACGAACGTGGCGAATTTCCGAACATAGTGTTCTCTGATGAGAAAAATTTCCCTATTGAGCAGTTCATAAACTCTCAAAATGATCGTGTACTTGACGAAAGCACCTACGAAAGTTTGAGCTTACGAACGGCCATCCGAAGTAATTTCCCATCTCAAGTAATGGTATGAGCATTACTTGAGATGGGCGCTCTCCAATCGTTTTTATTGAATCTGGTGTCAAAGTCAATGCAACTTATTATCGGAAAAATGTTTTAGAAGCTGCTTTAGAGCAGTGGGCACGCAAACATTTCGGTTGTAGATCATGGACGTTCCAACAAGACTCGGCACCGTCTCATAAAGCTAGTGTGAACCAAGAATTAAAAAAAAAACTATGTTCCACACTTCATTTCGTCCACCCAATGGCTTTAGAATTCGCCAGACGAAAATCTGATGGACTGTTCCATCTGGTCCATTTTGAAGAGCAAGGTGAGGACTAAAAAATATGCCAGTATGGATGCGCTGAAAAAAGCAATTATACGTAAATGGGCCAAAATACCGGAAGATCACATTCGTGCAGCATGCAACTGGTTTTTTGATCGTTTGAAGGCCATAGTCAAGGCAAAAGGTGGCCACATCGAGCTAAAGTGAGTGGATTCTGAAATTTTGATTATTTTCACACATTTTTGTTATTTGAATCAATAAAAAATAATTTCACACAAAAAAAATATGGTCATTTGAATAGACAACAGTTCAATTGCGTAACCGCGTAAGAGAGAGAGAGAGATAGAGAGAGACAGAGAGAGAGACAGCGAGAGTATATTTGGATCCCAAATATACAATGAATATTCCTTTCCAGCTTCAAGAAATTGAAGTTAATAAACCGATTAGGAGTACAAAAATGAGTATTAATTGGGAAAATATTATGGAAATTGTATGAAAATATGATAATTATAAACTCTTTTGCAATCGTGATATCAATATAAAGTTACGAAGACGAATGTTGCGGTGTTATGTCTCTTCTACCCTGTTATATGGAGTTGAGGCTTGGACACTAAAACAGTTGACCATAAAAAACATCGAAGCTTTCGAGATGTGGTGCTATAGGCGCATTGTCAGAATATCATGGATGGACCGTGTCACTAACACGCAAGTACTCCAAACTTTAGACAAAAGATGCGAAATTCTAAATGAGATAAAAACTAGAAAGATGGAATACTTGGGGCACATTGTGAGAGGTGAAAAGTACGAACTTTTAAGAAACATCATGCAGGGCAAAATTAAGGGCAAAAGAAGTGTGGGAAGAAGAAAAATATCGTGGCTTCGTAATCTACGTGAATGGTTCGGGTGTAGTTCGATTGAACTTTTTAGGCGCGCTGCTAACAAAGTCGCAGTGGCCATGATGATTTCCAATCTCCGCTAGGAGTGGCACGAGAAGAAGATGATCATCAATATTTGTACAAACAACTTTTGGGACAGAAGGAATAAAATAATCCAAAGATGATGTTTACGCAGATGTGGTAAATGTAATCAAATGAATTTTCTTAAAATAACATTAAAGTATGGTGGAAATTGAAGGAATGGATAAAAGGACTAATTTACTGAGTTTATTATACAACTACAGTTACTGAAACCTGTTGATTTATAACGTCAAACAGGAGTTTATCAATTTTTTTATTTTTAAGTTACCTGCATTAGTTATTGGTAATTTATTTCAATAGCTAAATTATTTAATATTTAATAAATATGATGTGATTAATACATTTGATCCTAGTGAGTTAAAAAGTCTTTCAATTATCTATAAGATCAAATCAATCATCTTCAGTTATAAAATTTATAGAAAATTTTTAATTAAATATTACTTTTTATAGAAACAAACATTAAAATTTTATTTTTTGAGTTTTATATTTTTATTTCACAAATATTTAATTTAATTGGTTGAAATATTGCACTTATGACATACATACACATAATATTTGTCACTTAATAAAATTACCTTGTGCCTATATTCGGAATCATCGTGAAATTTCTTAGACTTTGGCAACTTCCTTTCGCTCTCTTCATCATTTGTAGCATAGTTAATAACGTTGACAGAAAGAGGCGAATCTCTAGGACCCTTGATCTGTATAAAGGGTCCCTTAGATTTAGTAGAACTAGTGTTACTACCCGAATCGTAAGCGTAAATGTCTTTGGCAACGTCGAGTTTCCCCGTCGGTTTCACTTTCTGAGGTTTCTTGGTGCTACTACCGCCTTTCTGCTGACTTTTCGGCTTCGAGATTTTAATGACTTTCTTCTTCTTAGGTGTGGGCGTTTGTTCTACAGGACTCGCCATAGGAGGTGCTTTGCGTTTCGTTTTTTTGACTGGAGTTTTCTGTTCCTCGACTTCAGTTTGTGAAGTTAGTTCTTTACTTATTGAAGATTTTTCATTATCTTCCTCCTGCTCGGTGTCTTCGGTTTTTGTCTTTTTAGGTGATTTAGCTTCGTCTGCACTTTCCGAACTAGGTGCTATTCCATCATCTAGTTTCAGAAGAGGATCGTCCGCCTTTGAGTCATCCAAATCTAATGATGGGGGCTTTACGGGCTCACTTGTGTCTTCTATACCTACAAAATTTAAAGAACTTTTAAAAACATAAAGAATATATGGTAAAAAACTGTTTTTCATTATATTGTTTTGCTTATTTCGTATGTTTCTTATCGTCATTTTTTTGTGTCTTCTAGCTGCTCCCTGCGTCCAATCTCTCTTATCTCAATATTCTTTCGTTTGTTTCCTCTGTTCCTCTGACAATTTTTTGTCCGTAAAGTCTTATCATATGTGCTTGTATTTACTATATTCTTATTTTATAAGGATATACAGTATGATGCAAAAGTGTGGAATATTCATTATTTCAAAAACAGATGACTTTAAAAAAATACCAAAATACGTCAATTTTAATTTTTGAATGCCCATTAATTCCTATATATGTCTAGAACATTATATCATCAGTTTTGAAGTAATGACGTATTCGAGTATTTTTTTAAATACAAACCGAGGTCACGGGAGATCTCATTTGAACGGTCTCCTCATCGCCTTTACAACCATGTATTATTCGAATATTTATTTCTACAGGGTTAAACAAAATTATGTACGTAGTTAAGTAAAATGGAATTCAATAAATAGTCATTCAGTAAACTAAATTACTTTAGGAAAGAATTTACTGCCCGTCTATCTCATTCCATCATTGCTAAAGGTCGTCAATTTCAATATTTTTTATAATATTATGCTATATTACTTAACATTTTAAGTTAATTGCGTTAACAAACCAACATTTTTCTTAAATTTTCAAATCATTGCATCGCTGTAAAGACGATTACGAGACCTGTCAGATGAGTTATTACGTAACCTGGGTTTGTATTTTAAAAAATGTCGATTACATACGCATACGCCGTATATATATATATATATATATATATATATATATATATATATATATATATATTATATAATTAAAATTGACGTGTTCTAAGGTTGTCAACGCAAATGGAGAATTCAGCTAATCTCTGTGCTTTTAACGAACTGAGAATCAATAATACATTTTTCGACCATAGGCTCCAGTATAGATATGCATTTGAAAACTCCAGTACAACACAAACTAGTACTAGCAAAGATTGAAGAAATTGAAGAAATACAATAACATACCAGCAAACGAATGGGAAACATACCTGACGGAACTGTTTAAAGCAAAAGAAAATAATAATCAACACAATAACTGAATTACCTGAATTAAGACACGAAATAGAAATCAGTTTTCAGGAAGTAGAAATAGCCATAAATTCACTCAAAAATAGGAAGTCATCAGGACCAGACGGAATAACCAACGAGCTTCTAAAGCAAGGAGGAGAAAGTATAACCCTAGAGATGACAAAACTGCAAATGAACTACTGAATGTAAAATGAACAAATGAAAAACTTTTGACTACAAAAGCTAATATTGCACTGCAAGATACCAGACGCATGGAGATACAGCATAATGATACCAATGTCCAAGAAAGGAGATAAAGAAGACCCCAACGATTATAGAGGTATAAATCTAATAAACACCGCACTTAAGCTTACCACGAAAGTCCTAACCAACAAAATCAATAAACTAACAACTTTATCAGATGAACAACAAGGATTCAGATCCGGAAGATCCTGCGTAGACGCCGTATTTGTACTAAGACAAATCACAGAAAAAGCCATCGAGTACAATAAACCAGCATATCTATGTTTTATAGACCTGACAAAGGCTCTCGATCGTATCCAAGTCGAAGACGTCTTACACCTACTGTATAAAAGAAACATACGAATCAATATTATACAAACCATCGAAAACATCTACTTCCATAATCGAATACAGGCAAAGATAAATGGAAAATTAACACAGTGTATATCAGGGCATAGCGGAGTCAGACAGGGTGACTCGTTAAGCCCACTTCTCTTTAATATAATAGCACGTAAAGGTCATGGCTACAGAATGGGGAATAAAGAAATCCAATTATATGTTATGCAGACACGACGCAGCATTAATCGCCGAGACAGAAGACGAGCTCCAAATATTAACACTCATCTTCAATACAACAGCCAAGAAATACAATATGATAATATCAGCAGAAAAAAAACCAAATGTATGACAACATCTAAATAGCCACTACGGTGTAAAATCGAAATTGATGGAAAATAATAAAGCAGAAGCAAGGTTTAGATATCTGGCAATAGATATAACTAGTTACGGAGATGTTGAAGAAGAAATACGACAACAAAGCTTAAAAGCAAGTAAAGCTGCGGGATCTCTTAATGACATAATCTGGAAGAACAAATACAACAATAAATTTACGTTTATTTTTTTTTATATAAAATCTATCTCGCTTTAATTGAAATGATCGTTTGATGTCTTACGTCATGTTCAACTGAAACGTAATTTCTCTTAAGTGACCAGCAGTAATCTGCCATCATTCGTACATCTCAACGTCTTTGAAAATGACGCGTTTTCTACTTAGTCTTTGCTGGTTGTGGACTGAAAGGTCTCTAGGGTTGATTGGGTAAGAGTAATTTTGTTTGACAAGTAAACTCGCTTGCTTAGGGATTTCCTGATAAGTTGATTTGCCTGTTTGTGAATGAAGGGCAGTTTCTGGGGGTTGGTTGGTTTAATTAAGGGGTTATATTGACAAATAACCTGGCTTGCTGTACGTGATTTCCTTTTAATAAAAAAAAATTAGAAATTATTCTCGTGGATTCTTTCCTGCTTCTGAATTAAAAGGGGTGGTTTGTAGGAGTTGATAGGGCTAGAGGTTTTGTTTCGATCAGTAAACACAATTAGTGTATGTGATTTTATTTTGATATACCACAAGAAATTAATCTTAGGGATTCCAGGGTTTGCCTGTTTATGGACTTAAAGGAATGGTTTCTAAGAGGTGGCTGGATTTGGGATGTGTAGGTTTGAGATTGTTGGATTTTAAGTTATTTGATTTGGGCTACCAGGTTGTTGGAATAAGATTTTATGAGTTTGGGATTTCTGAATTTAGATATAGTTATAAATAAAAAAGCAGTATATAATATACGATGTAATAACTAATACAATAATTTAATTTAAAAAAAACACTGAAAGATCGAAAAATCAGTTCTAATTAAGGAAGAACTTCGACTGTTAAAGGGATTACGAAACCAGAAAGATTTATAACATCTTAAATTGAACAAACAAAAAAGATTTCAAATCACAACTCAAAATGTGCAAGTACACTGAGCAAGAAACAACACCTCTATAGACCGTCTTTCTAGTGGAAGTAAGGTAATAAGACAAAATTTACAAAATAATAGTCAAAGGGTGGAACGAAGAGTAAGTGCCAGAAGAATTGTGCACTGGAATTATCTGCCCAAAAAAAGAAGATCTAGTGAAGTGTAACTTCGACATGGATATACATAAGGCAACTGATCTGGATAACAAAGACCTTCGATTAATCAAGAACATATACTACAACCAATCAGCAACCATGCGGGAGAAAGACCGACTAACAGAGGAAGTTGCAATAAAGAGAGGAGTACGACAGGGCTGCAAACTCTCTCCCCTATTATTTAACGTCTATTCGGAACACGTCATGAGCCAGGCCTTAGAGCATATCGAAGAGAGCATTCTCATAAATGGTGAGCGCCTGAATAACATTAGATACGCAGACGAAACAATTACTGGTAGATCAGACACAAATAATCCAAGTGCGCCGTTACTACTATTTAGGAACCACCATAAACGACCAATGGGACCACAAGTTGAGATAAAACAAAGAACTGAAAAAGCCAGGTGAGCGTTTGTCAGAATGAGCAAAATATTTAAGAGCCACGACCTACCCTTAAAAACGAAAATCCGTTTATTGAGATTCTACGTGTTTACAGTGCTGCTGCCGATGGGGTTGAATCATGGACACAAACCGAGGCATCCATGGGAAAACTCGAGGCGTTTAAGATGTGGTGTTATAGACGGACACTGAGGATCTCCTGGGTGGACCGAATAACAAACATTGAGGTTCTACGTCGGATGGATAAAACATGTGAAATTATATCCACAGTGAGACAGCGCAAACTAGAATATCTTGGATATATAATGAGAAACGATCAGAGATATAACCTGCTGCAACTTATATTACAGGGAAAGGTCTACGGAAAGAGGGGTCTAGGAAGTAGAAGAATATCTTGGCTCCATAACTTACGAAAATATTTTTCCTTGACCACGTCAGGACTATTTCGAGCTGCGGTCAATAAAGTTAGAATTGCCATGTTAATAGCCAACATCCGTAACGGATAGGCACCACAAGAAAAAGAATAAAACAAATTAATAACATAAATCCAATTCAAACGGAATACCCGCATTTTTTAACCTGACAAACTGACAACAGGTGTATGTTCTCAAAAGAGCTTTGTCTTATAGGTTACAAATACCTCAACTAAGATTTATTGTCGACACAACATAATTAAAAAAAAACAGAAGACCAATACCTCTGTTATAAGGATGAAAACCCTGTTAAAGTTGTAAAAATCACATTTAAAACATAGACATATAATAGAAATAGAGTGAGCATTGCAATATGACGTCGTTCCCCCAGTGCGACAGAGAAAATTGAGGCAAAGCATATCTTTCTAATGTGGCGGGTTTTTTGACTAAAGCCCTAAATTACCAATGGGTAGGTCACGTGGTCGATAAACGCGACCCATCAGAAAAAGATACAGGGACCGTTTTGCGTCAATTTTCTGTCGAACTATGGGAATTCCAATGTCGCAGCGTTGAGTCTGCATTATATGTGTTAATTTAAAAGGTGATTGGTATATCAATGGCTGAATTGTTGAACCAGCTGATTCTGTCGTTTTAACGAGTCGTCCATTGGTATACCAATATATATATATATATATATATATATATATATATATATATATATATATATATATATATATATATAGTCCCAAGATTCCTAAGAGGAACATAGGGCTTCCACAAAGTGTCTCCAGCGAACTCTATTTCTGGCTAGTGCTTTGATTTCAAGCCAGGATTTTCTTATTTTTCTCCCTTCGTCCAGTACTGTCCTTCTCCAAGTTCCCTTAGGTCTGCCTATTTTCCGTCGGCCTTGGGGATTCCAATCCAGCGCTGTCCTGGCAATGTCATTTGGCGGTCTACGGAGTGTGTGGCCCAGCCATCTCCATTTTCTTCGCCTTATTTGCTTTATGACATTTTCTTGGTTGCTTTGGTTCCATAGATTTTCATTGGAGATTCGGTTAGGCCAAAATATACGCAGCCATACAGTAATACAGCTTTTACATTTGTGTTGAAGATTTTTAATTTCGTTTTAGTTGGGTAAATCCTGGATTTCCATATGTTGTTAAGCATGTTGTAGGCGTTGCGAGCCTTATTTATTCTTTCATGTACATCACGCTCTGTACCCCCATTACAGTCAAATTGGTATACCAAGCTCCTTTTAAATGTGATTTTTACAACTTTAAAAGGGTTTTCACCCTTATAACAGAGGCGTTGACTTTCTAATGTTTTTTAATATGTTTTGTGTCGACCATCACTATTCCATGAGGTATTTGTAATTTGTAACCTATAAGACGAAGCACTGAAGATGGCATGTTGCATGCCGAAATTACTAAGATTACAAGTGTTTTGAGAACATCAACCTATTACCAGTTTGGTATACAATTTACCTGCAAACATTTCTTCTAATTTATTTTCTACTTCTACGAAGTCCGTAGTGGTCTTCTTGGCAGCCGGAGTATCCACGGCAGGTGGAACAGGAATACTTACGGATGGAACAAGTGTACTAGAATCGTGAGCACTGTCCAACAACACATCAGTCAGATTGTCTTTCGTCTTAATCTCATTCGAATCTAATAACACTTCAGTCAAATTTTCTTTGACTGATATGTGGCTTTTATCTGATAACACATCAGTCAGATTGTCTTTAGTCTTTATTTGACTCATTTCCGAAAACAATCCAGTCAGATTATCTTTCGCTTCGACGTGACTTGAATCCGATAAGACAGCAGCCAAATTTTCTTTCGCGTTTATATTACCCGTATCTGATAAAACTTCAGCCAGATTTTCCTTCGTCTTTATAACGCTAACGGATATAGGTTTAGCAGGCAGTTCTGGAGTTAGCTCCTCTTTGGTACCATCCAATACCTTTTGCTGCCTCAGCTCCTTTTCCTTTAGACTCTCTTGTACCATCGCTGCAATATCATCGATAGTTTCTGATTCCGAAGAAGTTTTACGTCGTTTGGTCGAGGATATTAAGTCTTCCAAGTCACTGGGGGATTCCTCCTTGTCGGTGTTCTTGTTGTCTTCCAACATCTCGCCCATTATGCTGATGGGGTCTTTTTCTTCCACCCGTACTACTTCTTTAATGGAAATTTCCGCTAAAAAAAGAATAACTGATTAAGACTGAGTGATTAGATTTTGACTATTGTATGACAGGTTAAAAAAATGTCACTGTTACTTTTATTTATCGAGATAAATAAATCCGCGTCAACTGTTAGAATGTTATTGTTTCATAAAACTTTTTAAATTCATAAAGGACAGAAAATACTATTTTTTAGGATAAAGGGAACCATGGCCTAATGCAAAAAGAAGACAAACAAACTATGTACACGGATGAATATCTATGTCCATAAGTTATGGGGATCAAGAGACTCTTAAGATGTTGATTTAAGTTAGGAAATTCTTTTAGTTTGTTTCTCTAAATAAGGAGCCAGGGAATTTTTGAAATATGTCAACGGCATTATCCTCATTCGCTGCTTTCTTGACTAGTTTTAATATTTCAGCTTATCTTCTATGCATGCAATTACCTTTTTTACTGTAGATACACACAAATGTACAAAGCGGAGTCAGACAGGGTGACTCGTTGAGCCTACTTTTCTTGAATATAACAATGGACGAAATAATACAAGCAGTACGTAAAGGTCATGGTTACAGAATGGGGAACAAAGAAATCCAAATATTATGTTATGCAGACGACACCATATTAATCGAAGAGACAGAAAACTAGCTCCAAAGATTAACACATATCTTCAATATAACAGCTAAGAAATACAATATGATAATATCAGCAGAAAAAAACAAATGTATGACAACATCTAAATACCCACCACGGTGTAAAATCGAAATTGATAGAAAAATAATAAAGCAGGAAGCAAAGTTTTTAATATCTGGGAATAGACATAACTAGTTACGGTTATGTTGAAGAAGAAGTACGACAACAAAGCTTAAAAGCAAGTAAAGTGGCGGGTTCTCTTAATGATACAGTCTGGAAGAACAAAGACCTAAGACAAGACACGAAAACAAGAATCTATAAAGCAGCAATTAGACCTATATTAACATTCACGGCGGAGACAAGACCTGACACATCTAAAACGAGACGACTGCTAAAAACAACAGAGATGAAAATACTCCGACGAATATCAGGGAGAAGTCTGTTGGGATAGAGAGAGAAGCGAAAACATAAGAAGAGCATGCAATATAGAAGATATAAATGGATGGGTGACAAAACGGAAACAGGAGTGGAACGAACATATCAGTAGAATGGCAGAGAATAGAATAGTTCGAGATAAGTCACCAAATGGACAAAGAAGTATTGGCAGACCAAGAAAAATATGGTGCGACAATTTAAACAATTTAGGAGACTAATATTGAAGAAGAAACAGGCTTTAAAGCCTACATACTAGTAGGAAGAAGAAAAAGAAGACTGTAGATACACACGATTTTTCCCATTCCTTCCCTAAATACATAAACAAATACACTATGCGAAATAATTGAAGCACTATGTAATACAATCTATAGGTACCTTACAAACAGTAAAAAAACAGTTCTTATTAAGTTATCCATTCGCTCACGGCATCCACAAATGTGGACATACATTTCTACGCACTCAGTTTAACGAAATTATAATAGAATGACTGTTTGCTCATATTGTCCACGTTGAAGGACCTCTAAATATTCCATATTCATGCACTAGAACGCAACTGTTGGCAAGAAGAAACGATTGGAACAGTTTTAGTAAGATTTTGGCCACTACGCAGACATCTATACCGTGCAAAGAAAAGTAATTTATTTTTAGACTAGGTGACACCCACACTTGTAAATACTATTATATTAGGTGACACCCACACTTGTAAAAACTATTATATGTTAGAAAAGGTGCATTTTTGTGGAATACACAGTCACAAGTGGAATCAATTGATTGTTGGCTTTTTATTCTTACTGAAAAGTAACGTCTTTACTTGTGGACTGTGTGAGAAAACGGGTTATTCTAGAGTTGGTAAATATAACCGAGTCCATTCATACTACTTGTTGAAAAAAACATATTTGTAATATTTCAGTAGCCATCCGTGAGAGAGATAAAATAATAACACCTGAAGAAAGATACAGAGAAACGGAAATCGTGGATGACCGATGAAATACTTGAACTCATGGATCAGAGAAAAAAACAAAGAAGATCTCCAAGAATATAAGAGAATACATACCATCATCAGAAGAAAAATAAGAGAAACCAAAGAGAAACAAAATAGAGGAATATCAGAGTCGATATGATAACTCAATGTCCATCGAAAGGTGAAGGAAATAGCTGGAAACTTCCGAAAACGCAAAAGTGGAAAAATAACAGATGATGAAGGCAATCTTGCCATAACCAGGGAAGATAAGAAGAAAGTATGGGAAGAATACTTGGAATAGCTTTTCCATGACATTAGAACAATACAAGAGCCCACCATTGAAGAAAATTCAGGTCCCGAATCCCACCAGAATAAATAACGGCAGCCGTCAGACAAATGAACGATGGAAAGGCACCGGGACTTGATGAAATCCTGCAGAACTGTTAAAGCTATTAGATGAAGAACAAATAAAAATAATAACTGAAATATTTAATGAAATATACAAGGCATAAAAAATACAAGTAGAGTGGCTCAAATCGAAGTTTGCGATTATAGGACCATAAGCCTAATGAGCCATCTGCTGAAGCTGTTTTTAAAGGTCATCCACAGAAGAATTTACCGGAAATGCGAGGAACAAATTGCGCCCAATCAGTTTGGATTTTTGAACGCCGTTGGTACGAGGGAAGCTTTCTGGATATAAACACCAGAAAAACCAAGCTAATGATCATCAGTAAGGAAAACATAACTGGAGCAAATCTGTATGTGAACTAAATGAGAATTGAACGAGTCTCACAGTACAACTACTTGGGAACTATAATCAATGAGTCGTGAGACAATACCCAAGAGATTAAATGTCGCATCGGAAAGACAAAAAGTGCATTCTTGACTATGAGTTCTGTGTTCAAGGGCCATGACCTCATGTGAACTAAATGAGAATTGAACGAGTCTCACAGTACAACTACTTGGGAACTATAATCAATGAGTCGTGAGACAATACCCAAGAGATTAAATGTCGCATCGGAAAGACAAAAAGTGCATTCTTGACTATGAGTTCTGTGTTCAAGGGCCATGACCTCACCCTAGAAACAAAAATAAAGCTCCTTAAATGTTATGTGTACTCAGTGCTTCTGTACGGAGTAGAAACGTGGACATTGAAGGCGGAAACTCTATTAAAACTTCAGGCTTTTCAGCTATGGTCATACACAAGGATTTTGAAGATACCATGGACAGACAAAGTCACCAATGAAGAAATACTGCGAAGGATGAACACAACTGCAGATTTGGTTAACATCGTGAAGGGCCGTAAGCTGCAGTACTTGGGACATATAATGAGAAATCATGGCAGATACGAGCTACTTCAATTGCTAACCTGAGAGCATGGTATAGAAAGACCTTAACACAGCTATTTCGTATAGCAACCAACAAAGTGATCATAGCCAGAATGATAGCCAACGTTCGGAACGGACAGGCACCCTAAGAAGAAGTAGCCAACATGGACTTAAAGCAACCTTTGACCCATGAGCAGCTGCTTAATATAATAGAAAATCTTTCAGATATTGAATATATATCAGACGCCGATGATGACATTAATGCTTCGGAATAGTAATTTGAAGATTTGGAAGGTAAAAATATTTATTTTGAGTAATATAAAAAACTAATAATTATATTTATTTTTAGTAGAAACTGGAGAAGATTTATAAACAGGAAATGCTGGTCCAAATGAACCAAATGAAGATGAACCTCTCGCAGTAGAAGTGGAGCCTGTGGTCGCTGCAGGACCAAGCACTTCTTGGGCATTTTCTGAAGGTAAGATCAGGGTAATCTGAAGGTAAGATCAGTTATAAATAATCATCTCACCCCTAAGCATGATAAATATAATCCTCTCACCCCTAAGAATGATAATACTAAAATGAGATATCTCACTCCACCCACCAGTGGTTTGTAGATGTAACGTCAGTTATAGAATTAAAGAGCCCTGATGCTATCTTCTGTAAGTACTTTACAAAAGATTTATTTGCACGTATGGCAGAGTTTACAAACCTGTATGCTGTAAATAACGAAATACGATTTTCCCTAACAAATGTAGAGGAAGTGCAAATTTTCGTTGGTATAAATATACTTATGGGAAATTTACATTATCCTAGAATCCAATTTTATTGGAATGCAAAATTACGAGTGCTCAAAATTACTGAGAGTATGTCTTTCAATGGATTTGAATAGATTTTACTCCTTGAGGCTAACTTTACAGTTTATGAATACAACGGATGATGACATTGAGCATCAGGACAGGTTTTGGAAAGTTCGTCCTTTGTAATAAACAATACGCGACCGTGTATTGTTACTTCCATTTCCAATAGTGCCGTTCACAGGTTCACTCAATGTGAAGCAATACATAAAAAAACAAACCAAATCTTTGAGGTATAAAATTATTTGCATTCTGCGGTCCAAGTGGACAAATGTTCGATTTTATAGTTTATTAAACCTGTAATAATTATAATATTGGGAATTGGGATGATCGACAAGTTTAAACGATAAGACAAAACAAACAAGACCTGTATAGAAAGAAATAGGCAACGGTTAATAAAGTATTACAATTTGTCAATTTGAGGTGTTGACAAATTCAATTTCTTACAACATTGTACAGGACCTTATTAGGTCACACGCAAATGGACGTTGCGAATATTCACACATGGTATAGATTTAGCCTGTACGAATTCCTGGGTCGAAATTAGAAGGTAAGCAACAAATTTACAAATACCAAAGAAAATAATCTTAGTATTAACTTTTGTTCAAAATTACCATTTGAATAATATACATAAATATGAAAAAATTTAAAATTCAACCAACAATTTTTCAGAAATACCAAAATAAAAATAAAACAAAAACAACCGGATTGTAAGGACACAAAGAGGATGGAAAGTTAGTTAACAAGATATATACTAGAATTAGGGAAAACATGAAAAATACCTATATAGATAATATCGTTGAAA